GAAAAAAGTTTGGCATTTCATCTCTGCTGGCAGGTTATAAAATGTCAAATAAATGTCACAAATTACTTTTTTCCCGGGAAAGAAGTGAGTTCTTTTTTCCTGGATATATATATACACTGTTGATGGCTTTTGTTGTGCTATAGTTCCAGAAATGAGTCAATAATACCGTCTCCGAGATAGAACTGCAAGTCCTCTTATCTTCCATTCGACTTCGCTGTTGCGTATATTACTAAACAACCACAAAATTCGCAATTTTTTTTAATCAAATCACAGATTTAGACTGACAGAAGTGACATCAGATATTTGATTACTTCAAAAGAATGATAAAGATGCCTACAACGCAGGTGTCCCTACTGTTGAAAAATTAAAATTTCACGTCGATAATTTTCAGATTTCAAGATAATGTAATATCTTCGCAATATTGATTCATCCTTTCTTCTGTCACAGAAAAAAAATAGTGTATTATACACAGGAAAAATATTAGATCTTAGCTCACGGTTTTTTGTCTCCCTCCGCTACGCGTCGGGAGACAACACAACCTGGAGTTAAAATCTACTACTTTTTTCCCTTGTAAACAAAAAGTGTGGAAGTTGGAGGGGGCCAACTTCCCCAAAGCTAGGTTAAAATAATGTTTTAATCAGAAAAGAAGAGTGCGCCTCAAATATGACGATTTGATCCATTATTATGATCACAATTTCAGAGAATCATTTTTTTTACCCAACTTACAGTCTTATTTTCATCTCAACATTCTCAACAATGCGTTCTTAAAATATTTACATCGAATTTTGAACCACCCTGTATATCAAGCATGTCACAATATGTTTGTAGCTAATAGTTATTAACACATCAAGGTAGTAAAGAATGTCATTATTACCCGCAAAGCCCAAGATTGAGAGGTCCTATGGTAATAACATTCTACTACCAAGGTGTATATTAAATTTTCTCCACCACCATATAACCTTAAAAATCACCATTATTCGAAAGTTTCCTCTAATGAGAAATAATACCTTTTGAACATAGGTGGATAATGATGAATTGATAAAGAAATTCTACTTAGGTAGCAAACAACTGTGAATAGTGACAATAGTGTCAATGATAATTATGCTGATTATGCAATATACACATATATACCGATGCTTATGCAATCAACAAAAAATGACATTATATTCTTGAAACCAAATCTAGTTGAAACTACAAATCTCATCAGAACTGAAAGCAACTTTTGGAGTATGAAGAATGTTTGGAATAATCTGATTATTGATAATTCTTATTGATTCTAAAAATGTCACAACACAATGAATCATACGTGAGCTGTCACTGACCAAGAATTCAAATAACCATGACTTTCGGTACTTATGTTACACCCTGTATAATGGCAGCATATTATGGCAAGTCGTTATTGATGAATAAGTACTAGATTCGAGTGCGATTCTTGCGAATCTCGCATCAGAACAGTCAATTCGGGTCAATTATTATAACAGAGGTGGCTATGTCTTTATTGGCTAGTGGTTTATAAAATGACGAAAACTACCTTGGTAGTAAAAAGCGCTTTACGCCTCGAAAAGGAGTAGATAATGGTAGGTTCTACAGCTATTGGTGGAAAAACACATTTCATAAAAAGATAAATATTCCAATTGGATTTCAAAACGTGCTTCTCTGAAAATATGCACTATTTTGGAATTAATGAAAGAAGTGAAGGCTTTGGCTGAAAATCTAACAGTGGTTCAACTTGAATTGTAAAATCGAGATATTTGATCAACTTTGATTAATCATAACTTTTGACTGCTTCAACCCAGTCTCAATTATTTTTTTCAGTTTTTTAATATTCGTTTCATTGACTGTCGAACCTATATATGGAAATGATTATTGCTTCTCTTTGGAATGAGATTCTACAAAGCTGTACAATTTCTCAAAATTCCAGAAAGAACTAGGTGCCATTTCAACCATTTGGATGAAAAACGTTTCTGGGATGAAAAACATCTTTTTATCTGTTTTCACAAAACGGTTTTAGATTTCTTGTAATTCCAACACTCATTACAGTGTGTTTTTGTCATTCTGGTTCGAAACGGTGATCAAATTTCTTGAAATTTTATTTTTTGAAAATTGCACAGCTTTGATGATCATCTCGTAGGATCTCATTCTGAAGAGATGAAATAATCTTTTCCATTGCATATTTGAAGGATTACCAAGGTCTGGTATGTAAAAAAGTGTGAAAGCTAGACCATTTTTGTCGAGCCTGATAGGTTGAATAAGTCGTTCGATATTCTCGAGATCCCTTGTACATAAATGTTATCGATAGATCACGTGTGTTTTCTAGGTTCACAGTTCGATATAAATAACTTGGTTCACGTATCAGTACGTCATACCTGATTGGATACAAATTCTTTGCATTTCAATTTACCCATCAGTGACTATATAGGCACGTTGATGTGCACGGTAACTATTTCTTACGTGCACGTTTATGACGTCACTCACAATAACAATAACTGTTCGACGCAATTCTTTCTTCATAGATATTTTTCAAGTAGGCACTTGCTGCAGTGAACTCGAGTTCTATCCTCGTGAGGGACAACTTTTTTTTTATTTTGTTTTCTCTAGTTATTTCCAGAAGAGTATACTTTCTAGTATGAAGGTTCATTTACGCTGAGTTAGGTTAGATGGTTTAGAAAAAGTAGTCTCCTTTCTTGTGCTTAAGCAGGAAGGATATTTTCCTTCCTTATATTGGATATTTCTATGTATCATACTTCAAAAGAGGCAAAGTCCCCTTGACTTGCATGTACTGAATTAAATTGAATTGATTGAAGATTCTGCAAGAAATAAATTACAGGCACATCAACGTGTCACTAGCCGCAGCGTTTATTTTATCACAAAAAAAGAACGAATGACGATCTTTAGCAGTGTAAAAAATGTATTACAGCTCGTCAGATTATCACAATACGCATTTTGAATTATCGCGAAACTAACGTCTAAAATGGACGGCTACACTTTCTTTAATTTCTGAAGAGTTTTCAGCTTGTTTTTCACAGAAAAAATCACACAAGGGGAAACGTTAAGGCAGATGATATTTAGTTTTGGGAGCATTATTCTGACCTGCCTCCAGCGGCTCCAGTCTTATTCTTAGACACTTGGTATGACCGCATCCATTCATTCATCGAAAACAACATCAATTCATACCTGACGACCTATACAAATTTAGGAATTTGCAGGACACTGTTCTGCATTTTCAGTTCAGATACAGCTAACCAACCAAGTATTGATTATAGCACTCAAAATACTTTGTATACATTTGTTGATAGCTGATCAAATAAATAAATTGGGGCACGATCATAGCGCGAACTTCACTAGATGGTTATTCTCAATTAAGTATTTACTCGAAGGACCAGTCTTAGTCGTTATTTGGCCGCGATTTGGCATGAAGAATCAGCTTTTGTCTTGATACATCTCGTAGGACCAGTGTTATTCGCTATATAGCTTCAAGTACAAGTTTTGGTCGCTAACTGACTTGATCACACCTCATAGCACCAATTTTAGTCGTTGTCTAGCCAGTTTAAGTCCTTAACCGACTTGAAGAAGTAGCTCTAGTCGCGATCCAGCTCGAGAGACCAGTTTCATTCCCTATGTACCATGATGGGGAATCAATTTTATTCGCCCACTGACTTGAAGCGAATAAACGGTTTTAGTCGTTATCCAGCTCAAAGAGCCAGTTTCCATGCAATCTAGCGCTTGTAGGTCCAGTTTTCTTACGATGCAGCTCGAAGGAATAGTTTCAGTTGTTATCTTGAAGGACTGGTTTCGATTCATTTTCTGCTCTTTCAGTTGCTATGCAACTGGATGACCAGTTTTAGTTCCTTTCTAGCTCGAGCAGATAGTTTTAATCGCTTTCTAACCAGTTTTAGTCGGTATGCGATTTGATGGGCCAGTTCTAGTTGCGATTTGGCTTGAAGGGTCAGTTTTTTGGCAAACCAGCTTGAATTTCCAATGTTAGTCATGATCTACCTCAAAAGACCGGCAGTTCCAGTTCCTGTCGCTAGAACAGTATCAGTTGCAATCTATTTTGGAAGGCCAGTTTTAGTCGCTATATAGTTGATTCTAGTCATCAACCTAATTAATAGACTAGCACTGATCACTATCCGTATTGAAGGACAGGTGTTCATACAACCCAGTTCGTAAAACTAGTTTTAGTCGAGATCCAGTTTGAGTCGCGATCCTGCTCTAGATCGTATCTGGCAGTAGCTTGATGGATCTGATTTGTCGCGGTCCAGTTGAAAAGAGTAGTTTTATTCGAGATCCAGCTCGAGGGACCAGTTTCGGTTATCGCAATCCGCCTTGAAGGACCAGTTTCCTTGCAATCCAACTTGTAAGACTAGTTTCAGTCGAGATCCAGCTTGAAGGACCAGTTTTAGTCGCGATCCTGCTTAAGTTCCTATCCGGAATTTACTCGAAGGAGCAGATTCCACGCGGCCCAGTTGAATAGATGAGTTAGTTTTATTGGAGATCCAACTCGAGGGACCAGTTTTTGTCATCGCAATCCGTCTTGAAGGACCAGTTTCCTTGCAATCCAGCTTGTAAGACTAGTTTTAGTCTAGATCCAGCTTGAAGGACCAGTTTTAGTCGCGATCCTGCTTTGGTTCCTATCCGGCAGTTACTTGAGGGAGCATATTCCTCGCGGTCCACTTGAAAAGAGGAGTTTTATTCGAGATCCAGCTCGAGGGACCAGTCTCGGTCATCGCAATCCATCTTGAAGGACCAATTTCCAGACTAGTTTCAGTCGAGATTCAGCCTGAAGGACCAGTTTTAGTCGCGATCCTGCTTTAGTTCTATTCGGCAGTTACTTGCGGGAGCAGATTCCTCGCGGCCCAGTTGAATGGACGAGTTAGTTTTATTCGAGATCCAGCTCGAAGGACCAGTTAGTCGCGGAGCGCGTGAAAGGACCCGTTTTCTGCTCGTGACAAGAGACTGCGCGTATACTTTGGTCTGTCACAATGGGTTCTGCGCAGTGGTCAGCGCCTGCGTCGTGATGGTTCTGCGCAGTACCCTTCGAGTTCTTCGTGGGTGCACGACTTCTCGCAGCACTCGTTGTACACGCCGTGACCGTACCTTTTGTTGCGCCTGTACGTACCGCCCTTGCCCATCAGCGACGTTGCCGTTGCCCGCTCTTGGAAGGGGTAGTCCATGGGCATGTCGGACTGATAGTCGGCGGTGTCCCAAGAGGATTGTCTTCGGTGATCTGGAAGAAACAAGGATTTCAATGAATGCGTCTGGTTTAGTGAAAAAAAAATATTTCATTATTTCGAAGTAGGTCTAACTCTAACTAGTTCACTGTCGCAACCCGTTTTTTTCCCTGAGCCTTGAACATTTTTTAAATAATTATTGAAATTCACGGTATTTCGTAACATGAAAAACGCGAGAAAGACAAGTGCACGAATATTTCTGATTGTCATTCAATCAAAATATGAAAAAAGTTCGCCTCGTTAGAACACAACACACAACTGAAGAATCAGATAATAAGAGGAATATCTTTTAATATTCTTATGTTGAATAGATAGAAACGAGAATTTGTAGATGAAGGTGACGTTAGGAAGTTAGGTTAACAATTAAGTTCGTCTTCTTCTTCTCTTGTATTTCTGAGAACTTTAGGCATTACGCTTTTACCAGTACCACGAAATAATTTTTTTTGAATTGAATCTCGATAATAGGAATACTAGGAACTATTAATCGTTTAATGTGCATGTGAATATACTGTTGTTATCAGTCATATTGAATCTCGTGAGGTTATTACTAGTTACGAATTTGGAATAGTTGAAATATGTGGTCCTTATTTTTATGCGAAAGCCAGAATTAAGATAACGATGACTTTCCATTCGGTTCATGACGTAATCGAATCTGGCGTTTTTCAAAGGTGCCGTATTTCATTATCGACTAATGTGTACACCACATTTTAGTTTTCGAGAGGATGTAATTTAATGTCAAATCCAAATAACACCAGTCGGGATATAAGCTACTGCTATTCGAAGTGGGAATTATGAAGATTATAGTCAGATACGAATCTGCTGGTGGTTAGGCGTGACTGACTCAATTCAAGCAACTTTGGGTATTCAGGGAAGAAACACTTGCAATCAGTAAGTATGCGCTTATATAAATCGTGGGAATAAATATAATTCAATCTTCTGCATATTATCAGTTAGTTAGGCTTGCTATTTTTCTTGTTTCAAACTTTTGAAATATCCGAACGGTGTTGAAATAACTTTGAGGTTTGAACTACGACTCGTTACAAGATAATTCCACTTTGAAAATAATTAGACTTTTAGATTCTCTGATGGTTAGGCGTGCAGGTAGTTAGAAGTGCCTGACTCAATTCAAGGAAACTTGGATATTTAGCAAAGAGTCTTTTCACTAACTCGATGTATCTCAGTTCATTTTTGAAATGAACTAGAAGAGTAGAATGTTTCGTTAGTTGGTATATGAGAGGACAGTGACCTTCAACGAGAGTCTGTGATAAGCTCTGGTTCACTAGCGTACCATTCTGACTAGCTTATTTTGACTATGTTTTGCGAATATCTGATGAACCTCTTTGCTTTTCTTTGATTGTCTCAGAGATGGGAATGATTCTTGGAGAATAAAGATGACATAGAGCCTGCCTATAGTCTCCTACGGATGTTGCCAAATTGCAGTTTTTATCTCTGATTACCATACTTTTCTAATTTCGTTGTTTGAGTAGTACTTACATTCTGTTTTTTTGTGCATGGTATTGTAGTACTTTCCCTTGCATACCGTCGAGAGTGCTGTTGCTAAGTAGCTGCCGCAGTACCTCTGTTTTTCTTGTTGCTTCGATATTTGTTTCTGGAGATCGTCTAATTGGCAGAGGATGGTTCCTAAGAGTAGGGGGATGAGGAGGAGACTAAAGCGGAGTTCCATCTGGAAAACACAAAGGAAACATTTTGTCGATTATTCATATAAATTTGTTGAAAACAACCAGAGTTTAAAATTTGCATCTCAGAGGACAATTTCAATGTCTTGCTAACTAATAAATGATGGTCAACACATAATCCGTCGTATTTATTTACTTGTCATCATAGGAATTCTGTTGTGTCTGAGTGACTGTTCCTTCCTGTTCATAGACACATTACATGAGGCTTATCTGAGACGCGTGTTTACCAATTTGTTCGCGAAGGATCATTTTTGTTCGATAATAATGATACAGGTAGGTATACTCTCAACTATAAATAAGTTTCAGCTAGTCGGTGTGTGAAAGCGTAAATAAGATGGATGAATATGTTGTCCCACATATTTTTATCGAACTGTTCAACCAATCTGAATTTGGGTAAGGTTGAGGCAATTCTTCACAAAAATATCATCATATGTAATACCACATGTGATACTATTTTGCCGTAAATACCCGGCGATTGTTACGACAGCTTATTGCCTACTAATTGCGCGATTGACATTGTTTATCGAAACTTTAGAGCCGTAGGCGAGAAGTTTGGGAAACATTTTATTCGCGAAATTGAAGCAGCAAGCTGGAGTATGATGGTAATCTACGGATATTACCAGACAAAAATAGTATCAAAAGAGTTGTATTCGTATAACTATTTCATGATTGAGACTATGAACGAGCGCCTCACGAGAGTTGCACACACTGTATCCATCATAGCCTGCTAACCCTGGCTAACCACAACAAGGTAACTCTTCAATGGGTGCCAAGGCATAAGGGAATTGAAGGCAATGAAGCAGCTGACGCTCTTGCTAGGCAAGGGTCTGCGACGTTGTTTATGGGACCGGAACCTGTGTTCGGTATCCCCAAAACCTCAATACGCGGCTGGCTGGCAAGGTGGATGCAAGAAAGACATCAGGCATACTGGAAACAATGTCCCAGCCCAGGACAAAGACACAGTAAACTGATGATTGGAACACTGTCCATAACAGCGACTAACGACATTCTGAGCCTAAACAGAGGTCAGATCAGACAAGTGACGGGACTAATAACCGGTCACTGCCCCTTGAGGAAACATATGCATCAAATGGGCATCTATACAGATGAACCCATATGCAGGCTATGTCATGAGGAGGAGGAAACTGCCACCCATGTAATATTGGAGTGCGAAGCACTAGCGCGTTGGAGATACAACCTTCTGGCAGCAGTAAACTCTCAAGAGGCCTTTCCAAGAATGATTTGGTGAAGAGGCTGCTAAACCTTATCAAGGTAGCGAACCTGTTCACCTAAGTCAACAGCATGATCAGGAATACAAGAGGCTCAAAGGCTGCAGTGTTTTGGGCGTCGAACCCTGACTGATCATTCTGCTATTGATCAATCAATCCATCATTCTGGCTCCCAACATAATTGATTATTATTATTTTTAATATTATTATTATTATTATTATTAGAGTTGCATGTCTTTGAACCTGAGGATATTGTACCTATATGGTTGTTTACTGTCGCGAGAACATTGCCCTTAATTTGTTGTTGTCGATTTGATCTTGAATTAAGTATTTGTTGTGCTGGAGTTTGAGCATGTGAGACCGAATAATTTGTTTTCCGATGTAATCGAAAAGTTGATATGAACTCTTGATGTCACATTTATTAGTGTCTGTGTTGTTATGACCTGAGGTGTAATGTTCATTTCTGTAGATTTTTTGGATTCCCTTCCTTCGTCTTCATAAATAAAAATATGTTGAGTAGTACTATTGAAATTTCTCACAAATATATAGTCCCACCTTGTTTGAAATATTTGTGAGTACGAGATTTTATAGGTATACAAAAATTCTAAATTTCCACTCAAGTATCTTTGCTCACCATGGTATACGAATTTTCGTACAGAAGGCAAAATCACACAGATTACAATCATTCATGTGAATCATCTTAATAGTTTCCCCTTCAATTCCAAGTTGACCTTTCATGTAGGCTTAGGAAAACAAATATTTTGGGAACAGATTGTATATCATATAGATTTGTTCATTATTATGTGGGGGATTTGTTAAGTAGATTGTAGATTGTATATTGTAGATGGGTCGTATAGGCTGGGAGACCTCTCGATCACTGCGACCTAGAAGATCTATTGTGATTACCCCTATCTAGTTTTGATCCTCTAACCCTAGACTTCTGATGAAGCCTATAATTTTCCTGACGGTTGAATATTCCACTTCAGCAGTGGTGAGACCCGTTCTAGGTGGTTCAGCCTTTGGCGGACTAATACTTCACATGAGCAAAGTATGTGTTCCGCGGTTTCGGTCGCATTGTTACAAAAGCGGCAAGTGTCAGTCTCCGACAGGCCCATCTTTTTGAGGTGGTACCTCAGAGGGCCGTGTCCTGTGAGAAAGCCTGTGATAAGCTTTAGCTCTGGTTTGCTGAGGCTTAGTAGCTCTTTGGCTCGGTTCTGCGAATGGTTGATGAACCTTTTCGCTTGTCGTTGACCTGGAGTTGCTCTCCAGTAGGAGGACTTTTCAATTTCTTCCCATTTCCTGAGTTCTCCCTTTAGGGATCACACTTAATTAATTCAAAAATCTATTCGATAATGCTGCAAGATATAACTGTCAAATTAAGTATATTCTCATTCATTGCTAACACGATATCTGTGGATGCAAATACGCAAACAGGTCACAATAGTTGTGATTGAATAGAAATAATAGTAGTGACATAAGTATTGTATACATAGGTTATTGATATCTCAATAAATCTGCGATCCCTAAAATACTAAATAACAGTTTATTCCGTTCAAAAAACATCTGTAGTTTGTCACATGTTTAGAAATAACCCTGTAACGCTTCAAATAAGGGCCGTGAAAAAGACCTATTCAGGTAGGAAGTCATCAATTCTGATCAGTGATAGAACAATAAAAAATATAGACTTTAAAGACGAAACATCGTTGATAAACGTATCTTAACAAAGATACTGGGTGTTAAAGTTTTGATACGTTTGCAACATCAATTACTTTAAACCTAGACTACCTACCAGGTATATAGTTTTTTGATCTTCTGATCAATCATAGAGCCAGTATTTTGGTGGGTCTTCCGCTTTCAATTATTGTTATGTATTGATGGCTGTGTTATGTTTATGAAATATTCAACTGACCAGAATTTCATAGCTCGCTGGAATCACTTGTACTTTGAATGCATTTAAATATAATGTATGCTTGGTTTGAAAATAACACGTTTTATCAGAGTTTTGGGTAACCTACAAACGGATTCTGACACGAGGCAAAGTCAAAATATCGAGATTTTCAGCTAAACATAAATAACAAACATTGTCCGAGTCAATCAGTCTCCGTGAAGAAGCAAAAACAAAGTGCATTTTTCTGAGTAAACATGTTTTTCTTCAAAATACCATCCGAAATATATAATAATTCTGATGATGGGAATAAAAAATACCAAAATCACACGTGTTTATAACTTATTATGCAGCTGTGTTGCCAATGGTGGTGATTTATCACCAGATTTGGAGATCTTTGCCAATTTGGTGTTTTATTTCAATCAAACTGTGAAATCTGGTGATTTTTTACATAGAGTCCGAGAGTCCCATATGGTTAAAGAAGTGCATGTATCTTTATTCATGCCGTTTAATACATTCGAGCAAAAACAGTACCTACCTAGATCAACATTGACTTCAGAAACACCAGTACCAGTATCTAACAAAAATGGAAACAAAAAACGAAGGATGAGGATAGCGGCAATGGTTTTTTTCAGTACAATACTACACTCTAAAGGCTTCACTTATGAAATTGGGGATAATTTGTTGAATGGTAATGCATATCACAAATATACTTATGACTGGAATGAAGCTTCATATACATAACAGTTTTATTTCGATTGGTAATTATTATAATACCTTTGACTAAGGTGTCTTCGACCTAAGAAAATGTTGATTTTAACCTTTTGTTTGAAAGTGAGAAAATATATTTTTATTCAAATAATTATACTCTATATTTGATTTCATACTTTTCAATGTCTCTAATTCATGTACAAAAATTTTGCAGATATACCCTAGTTTTCAATTTTTTCTAATGAATTCCAGAATTTGTGAAATCTGGTGATAATTTTTCGAATCTGGTGATTTTTACTTCATAGATCTGGTGATTCGAAATTTTAACTGTTGGCAACACTGCTCAATAGTCTCAATAACATCTAAGAGGCCATAAAGGGGCGCAAACTTATCTAAGGACATCAGGACAGGTCAGAGTGTTTTGATATCCAAAGAAAACTAAAAAAAAACTGCAAAATATTATTATCATGGCTATCTATGAAACACTTGACAAATCGCACGTTGAGAACAATAGTTAGAACCACCGTCGGATAGAAAATTTTTAGCTCTAACACTTCTAGAATATCGTGACATCTCTAGGTCCAATAGTTGCTGCGTGACATTGCTGGTCACGTTATTGCACTAGAGGAGAAGTAGGTATTACAGCCGAGCAAGAAAGTGACTATTTGCGTTGTCATATATCAATCAACGCCTAAACTTCGCAGGATACGCCTCGTATTCTGACTTTGAGGGAATTTTTATGATAAATAATGTGACTAGTCATTAAGTCACCTTATTGATTAAACACAATTTGAAATTTTTTGAGTTGACACGTTATTACATTTTCATCATTAAATGAAAAAATGCAACAAATTTTCGAGTTGTAATGTTGACAATATGGAATATTTCGATTTGTCACATTATTGCATGCGTTGCACTTAATGAAATGGAGGTAATACGAGCTTCTGCAGAAAGCTTGAACTAATAGCATCAAGAGTAGCCCTTAAAAAAAAAGGAAAAATACAAAACTAGAATGAAACTTCCGAATGTATGTAATTTAAATATTTCTCTTTGCTTATGTTTGAATTCCAATTTGAAAAAATATATTATAATTCCTTCGGATTGAACATTTGGAAAAATGTGTGCCTATAGTCACTTCTCTTCCCATACTATGGCATTTCAA